CATCCATCCATCCATCCATCCTTCCTACCTTCCTTTCTTCCTTTCTTTCTGCATAACAACATCAGCAACTATGTCTTTAATCCAGCTATACCAAATGCCATTAGTACTCCAAAGTAATCCTCAATACTTCCTCAGTAAGATGCTTATTGTATATTTGTGTGATTTTGATAAAAAAATAAAAAGTGAATGGTTTAGTATTGTCATTTCTTACATATCATGAGATTATGGCCTTTCCATTGTCACTAAAGTGATCATCCATTTCCAATATCTTCCTATATTCCTGTTGCCTAGTATAAGTTGCTACTTGCTTTAACTGGGCAGCTGGCAAGACCTTCATGGGCAACACTCCTAAAGTATATTCTCCTGACAGTCACTGACATACCCTCCCAGGAACATGCCACTATAACTACCACCACTACCACCAAGATAAGGCAATCCTGCCATAATTACCAATATATTATATGGCTCTATATCCAGTTCTTGCAGTTGTTTATGGTGGCAGCATAATTTATAGAAGTAATGCATGAATGCATGATAATATGAACCAATCATAGATCCTCCATGTTTGGAGATCTGGTACATTAAACTTCAACAGAACCAAATGACATTATTTTATGGCTGTGGCATAAATGACTGTTCATGCTAATCCCGTTCAAACAATACATTTGATTTGTTTATCAGTTTAAACAGCCATCAGAACACGCAGTCAAATCAAATCAGCATTTTCATTTGAAGCACGGATGAGATTCATTCGTTTGTCTCAATTGCTCTGAATTGTCAAATCTGTTTTGATCTGAAATCACCGTCAAGTTGAGTATCAGAGCTGAATTTTCATAAAGAGGATGCATTTTTGTTACATTTGGGGGCAGAGGTTTGATAACTGAAGACCATATAATCAATCATTCTGAAATTAAAGTGAATTCACACCCTCCTTTTTGATATGGACAAATTATCTCATGAAGGACCTTGTATCAGACCTCAATCATTCACTGAAGAGACAAATTTCAGTATTTGTTATAAAGAATAGAATAGAATAGAATAGAATAGAATAGTTAGAAAAGACCTTGGAGGGCTTCTAGTCCAACCCCCTGCTTAGGCAGGAAACCCTACACAACTTCAGACAAATGGTTATACAACATCTTCTTTAAAACTTCCAGTGTTGGAGCAATCACAACTTCTGGAGGCAAATTGTTCCACTGATTAATTGTTCTCACTGTCAGGAAATTTCTCCTTAGATCTAAGTTGCTTCTCTCCTTGATTAGTTTCCACCCATTGCTTCTTGTCCTACCCTCAAGTGCTTTGGAGAATAACTTGACTCCCTCTTCTTTGTGGCAGCCCCTGAGATATTGGAACACTGCTATCATGTCTCCCCTAGTCCTTCTTTTCATTAAACTAGCCATGTCCAGTTCCTGCAACCCTTCTTCATATGTTTTAGCCTCCAGTCCCCTAATCATCTTTGTTGCTCTTCTCTGCACTCTTTCTAGAACTAATCCTGAAATAATTTTCTCGGTTGCTTCAGTGCTCAAATAAATCTCTGCAATTCATGTTAACAATTCAGTTAATAAAGACAACCCACCAACATATTTCTAATGTTTCAGAGCCCCCCATTGGACAGATGCACCCTCCGCATGGAAGTGTAACCCCTCAGAAGAACAGCAATCTTCTCGTCGTTATTGTTGTGACTGTCGGGGTCATCACTATCATTGTGGTGGTGATTGTGGCTGTGATTTGTACAAGGCGTTCATCAGCACAGCAACGAAAGTAAGTCATTTGAACATCTTTGTCATTTCGCCCAAGGGCTTGAGATACTCAATATCATGTCATTGCAGGGAGGTTTCCCAATGATTTCATTTCCTGAATTGTGTCGAAGTGTTGATGGCACTACAGACAAGTAAAAACCGTCTAGCACATTTCTGTGACTTGAGAAGCAATCCAGATGGTCACTTAAATATACCACAATGATTAAGAAGTACAGTAATATACTGAATAAATGATTAGTTCCTTCTTACTTAACTATACCGTGATGATTAAGATTGCTGGAGCCTTTTCCCATTAATGTAAATCTTGATAGTACTACAGACAAGTAAAAATAGAGTAGCACATTTCTGTGATTTGGACGACAATCCAGATGGTCACTTAAATGTGATGATGATTAAGAAGTACAGCAATATATTGAATAAATGACCGTTTCCTCTTTCTCAGGATGGGAGGTCAGACTCACCTTTCCCGGAGCAGGAATTAATAGAGCTTTCATATCCCCAATAAAGCTGGCAATCAACACCCTCTGAAGTTCTTTACTTTTAAATCACCAGAGCATTATCTAACTATTGTATTGAATTTAGCTGCATGGTTCCATTATATTTTCAGATGAAAAACACAAAGGAGCTGCAATGTGAACCCTGAAATGGTTAAAACTCAAAGAAAAGATTGAATTCCCATCTCCACAGAGGAAAAAAAAATGCAAGGGAATTGAAACTCTTGGTTCATATAGAAGATACAATCTGGCCTATTTTGCCAAATATCCAAAGCGCATGATAGCAATAGCAATAGCAATAGCAGTTAGACTTATATACCGCTTCATAGGGCTTTCAGCCCTCTCTAAGCCGTTTACAGAGTCAGCATATCGCCCC